TGTCATGCAAATTGTGTTCCCTATCTCTGACTAGGAGGCATTCACAGAACAGGATCGTTATCTTACAGAGCTTTATATAAACATGTACATTACAATTTAAAAGATTAAAATAAGCTCTAGTAAAAAGTCTTTAATCTGAAGAATTTTGTCCCCTGCCTATCAAGGAACTAACTTATTTCTTATTTGCTTTTGCAGTAATTCTCTTTGTGACTCAGATATGCAGATGTGAGAAGGGCCCAGTAAGTGCCGGCCTGCCAAAGCAGCTCAGCAGGGCCCTGAGGTGGGCAATAGACTATGAGACATTCCCTAAGGATGATGATTCAGAAATGACCGCAGGTAGGAGGGTGGGACATCATCTGCTCAAAGATATCATCTCAGGGTTTGCTAAACTTCAGACAAGGTCTATTTGATTTACTTATTACTATCTAAGGCAAAGATATCCCTTTTCTTTCTTTTTTTTTTTAATGCCTAATACATCAAGTCATTTTTTTTTTTTTTTTTTTTTTTTTTTTTTTTTTTTTTTTCCCCTTTGAATCTAAACTTATGTTGGGGATAACAATTTGGGACATTTTACCAGCTGTTTAGGAAATTCTGGACTGCTCATTCAACAACTCTTCAATTGTCTACATTTATAACTTTGTATGTTTGCAAAGATGCATAAGAGTTAAATTTGTCCCTTTTCTGTGAAGCTTCTGCAAAATTCATATCTATGCTACTCCTGTGTATACCTATATATTTGAATATCCAAGGGAAAGTTGGTAGCTTCCATCTAACATATTCAGCTGGATCTTTTCAACCAAAATGTAAATCTGCAATGTATTCTAATGTAACCCAATTAGAGCTACTAACACCATCTGTATATATATTTTCAGTGCAGCTGTCAAAAAACACTCTTACACCCCAGTGATATAATATTTGATAGTTGTGTGATATTTCATTGTACCATATTTCATTTAACCTTTTTCTTATTTTTAAATGGGCCAATTTTCACTTTCTTCCTTTTATAATTGAATTTAGTACACTTTAATATGTAAGTCTTTGCCCGTATCTGATATTTTTATATGTAAGTCTTTGCCCGTATCTCTGATATTTTTCTTAGGATAAAGTCCTAGATGTGAATTCCTACAGAAAAGTGTATCAATTTTTAAGCTAAAAGTTTCAAAATAAGAGCAAATAGGATAGTATTTTAAAAGTGAAATAGTACTAGACAAACAAAACAACTTAGCACTCTCCAGACCCCGTGTGTCCCATGTCCCTCTCTTTAGCTGTTTCTTCTGATATTTACCTTCACATATTACTCTTTCTTTTTTTTTTTTTTTGAGACAGAGTCTCGCTTTCTTGCCTAGGCTAGAGTGAGTGCCGTGGCGTCAGCCTAGCTCACAGCAACCTCAAACTCCTGGGCTCGAGTGATCCTTCTGCCTCAGCCTCCCGGGTAGCTGGGACTACAGGCATGCGCCACCATGCCCGGCTAATTTTTTATATATATATCAGTTGGCCAATTAATTTCTTTCTATTTATAGTAGAGACGGGGTCTCGCTCTTGCTCAGGCTGGTTTTGAACTCCTGACCTTGAGCAATCCGCCCGCCTCGGCCTCCCAAGAGCTAGGATTACAGGCGTGAGCCACAGCGCCCGGCCCTACTCTTTCTTGATACTTAAATTTTAGACATTCTCTATTGATTCTACATAAAAAGAAAATTTAGATCTTTTATATGACCAAACACATTTCTTTTCTCTACGCTCTTCTCATTCAATTATGCTTTTTTATTAAATCAATATTCAGTATTTGTATTTTTATGCTATATTGATATTATTCTCTAAGCCATGTAGGGTATTATGATTACATTTCCTTTCTTATATATCTTTAATTTTTTCATTACAGTTAATAACTGCCTCATTTTATTCACAGTGTGGCTGTTTTAAAACATGGCCCTCAAATTCTTCTGATACTCTTGTCACTCAGAGGTGAGGTCTATGACCTCTCCCCTTGATTCTGGATGGGCCTGTGTTTTGATAGGAGTCTATCAAAAGGACACTGTGACATCTGAGGAAAGATGCAACCTGTCTTGCTTGGCACACACTTGTGTTTGGAATTCTGAGAAGTCCGACTAGGGCTGCCATGCTGTGAGGAAGCCAAGCTTAGTGGAGTGGTTATGCATAAACACTCTGGTTGGTCGGCAGCCTGGTCTTCTAGACATCTCGGCCCCGGGTGCCAAGTATGTGTGAGGATGCTTCCAGATAATTCCAGTCCCCAGAATCACCGAGTCACCTCTAACATATGGATTTTTCCAGCTGAGGCCCTGGACATCATGGAGCAGAAAGAGACAAGTCTCCCCACTGTGACCTGTACAAATTTTTGACCTACAGAATCTGTGAACATAATAAAATGGTTATTTTAAGCAGCTACATTTTGGGGTAGCTACATTTGTTATGCAGCAGTAATAGCTGGAATATTTAGTTTATGTACCTATAATTAATTTGTCCCTAAATTTTCAGTATGGTCAAGCATATTAGGTGATTATTCAGTTCCATTATTTTCCTTGGAAATATTTCTCTGGGAGATCTCTGTCCTCTTGTCCCAATGCTGCCTGGATACATAGCCATCAGTCTAGAATTTGCTAGGATGACAGTGTAGTATGCTACTTAAGGATGTGGGTCCTGAAGCTGGCTGCCTGGGTTTGAATCCTGGCTTTATCACTTGTCAGCTGTATGACTGTGGTCAAGCTAGTTAATTCCTCAGCGGCTCAGATTTCTCATTGGAAAACAGTGCTTAGCACATACTAAGTGCTATTATTGTTGGCATTATTGTTATTGTTTCTTATTCTTTTCTTCACATTGCTCTTAGAATTCTCATCACCTCATGCCTGTATCTGATCCCCTAGCTCCTGGATTCCATGGGAAAGCTCTTCTCCACAGTTATTACCGTGTCTGATGGATTCATCACCTGCTTCCTAAAAGAAGGTACTTGGAACATAAGTTATATAAGACCTTATACATCTGTCTGAAATCGTGTCTATTTAATATCATACTTGGTAATGATATGGCTGGGATATAATTCTAAGTTGGAAATAGTTTTCTCTTTGAATTTTTAAGGTATTTTTCCATTGTCTCAAAGATTTTGGTGTCACTACTGAGAAGCTGATCCTGAACTGCTGATCAACCTCCCTTAGTTTCCCAGAGTGCTAGGAATACAGGCGTGAGCCACTGCATCTTTTGTTTTTTCCTGGGACTCTTAATAGATGTAAGATTTCCTGAAAGAATCCTCTAATTTTCTTATTTTTGCTCTTCCATTTTCTATTGTCTTTTCATTCAATTTTCTGGGAGATTTTTTTCATTTGTATCTTCCATTCTTCTGATTTAAATGAAAATTCTGTGATATTTTTATGTTTTATAATTGTTATTTTTTATTCGTGAATTGTCCTTTTTATTAATAACATATCACTTGTTCTTATATTATGGATTTAATATCTTATCCTGCTGAGTATTATTTGTTTTTTTTGGAGACAGGGTCTCACTCTGTCGCCAGGGCTAGAGTACATAGCATCATCATAGCTCACAGCAACCTCAGACTGCTGGGCTCAAGCGATCCTCCTGTCTCAGCCTCCTGGCAGCTGGGACTTCAGGTGTGTGCCACCACACTCGGCTAGTTTTTCTATTTTTTGTTAAGATGGTGTCTCACTTTTCTCAGGCTGGTCTCAAACTCATGGCTTCAAGCAATCCTCCTGCCTCGGCCTCCCAGAGTGCTAGGATTACAGGTATCAGCCACTGTGTCCCGCCTGAGTATATTAATTATAGTGCTTCTGAATGTGTCTTTTTTTCCTTACATTATCTCTGTTTCCTCTAAGGTCCCTTTTAATCAGTTTGTTTTTGACTCGTTCTTTCATGGTAGAAGTTTTTCTCAAATGCCCAGTAGTCCTCTTGACCTGTTCTGCCTCAGAGTGAGGCAGTTGGATATCCTGTGCATTGGGATCCTCTGAGGCTTGTCAACTGGTGGGTCTCACTGTAGAACTGCTCAAGGATATGATATATTTACTTAGGGGGCCCCAAACACCCACATCAGCATATCTTTATTTAAGCTAGCTGCCAGCATTTTGAGAATCAGTAAGGTGAGAGGCCTGGGACAGGGGAACTGGTCCAGTGGCATGACCGCAGCTCCCTGCAGCCTTGAACTCCTAAACTCAGCCTCCTGAGTAGCTGTGACTAGAGGTGTGAACCATAGCGCGTGCTGGGTAATCGGTTTCCCCGAATGCAGATATGCACTCAGGCTCTCTCTCTGCTTTAAGTACAGTGGCTACCCCTGCCCTTAGCTGTGCCTGGCTTCCCTTGTGTGAAGTCTCAGATTATCCCAGCCAATTACAACCGGCGAAGTTAAATTCTCTGAGGTTTTGGATTAAAAAGGCAAGAACTTTTTCTTTTAATTCAGAGTTTTTTCTCTGAATTAAAAGAAAACCTAAAAAGTTCCTTCTCATCTGCCACCCCCAATGAGATGGGAAATTTACCCAATTCAAGCCCCTTTATCCCTTCCACTTCACCATGTTTTTTTCCTTTGATAATGCCTCAGAGCAAGTATTCAGGGTCCAAGTTTGTTTTAAAATAACCCTATGAGCTGACAGACGGAGCTCCTGGAATTCTGCAGCTTGTGCTGGAGTCCACAGATGGGAAATTGCAGTCAGTTATAGGGTGGTGCTATTACCATAGCCCAATTTTTGAAAGCCTTTAGAAAAAAAATCATCTGAGTTAATTAGCATTCACCACAGGCACTAGTTTTGTGTTGCAGTGTTCTAAGAACTCAAATAATAAGAAAACACAATACAGCAGTCTCTAACTTTTAACTAATATTTCACCTCTTAAAAATAAAGATTATATAGAAAGAATTTTACCAGTTACATGAATATGCTCATATATGGCTGATCTATAGCATTAAACCATCATGAAACAGGAATTATGTTCTAAAAATCAATGAAATACTAAGGGTACCTAAAATAGGAATAATTTCATTTTACCTCTCTGATCTGCTTAATCCACAAATCTCTTCCAAGAAACTCCTGATGTAAGACTACTGGAGCTGAGTTTAGATTAAAAGTCATGGAGTCACTGGTTTTTTCTTTAATAAAAGGCTGGAGGTCAGAATTTATCTGGAAGGAGCAGTTAAAAGAGTTAAATTAGTGAAATGTATATATACTAGTACATTATTCAGAAAGCATCAGTTAATGCAGTGAATAATGAAGCTTAAGGAATGTAGTTTTTAGATGTACTTTAATAAAAGAACATTTTGGATAATTAACAACCTTTAAAATTCTTTAGAATTATTTTTCCCTAATATGTTCCTTTTTTCATTTGGCATTTATTTTACTTTTTAAGTTAAAGGTAAGGATTTAGATAAAGATTTTTTTTAGATAAAGATTTAATAAATATAATTCCTGAATAAACTAAGATAAAATAAGACATGCAAAAAACTCATCTGGAGATATTTTATATATATATATGTGTGTGTGTGTATGTATGTATATTTGCCCCCTCTTATAAGCTATTTAAGTAACATTTAAATTATATATTAAATTCCATTTTTTTGGTTTTTTAAGTGACTTATTTCCTTCGGATTAAATTCCATTTTAAAATTACATATATGTAGAAGCAACAACATGCCAGCTAATTTTTGGACATTTTATACTTCATTCATAATAATAATTAATTTGTATGTCCATTCAAAAGAATTGAATATGAAAATTATAAAAGAATTGGTTATGAGAATTACAGCTTCAATTTTGCTCAGTATATTTCTAAATTTCATCAACTTTCCATAATTTGTCTAACATAAAGATCTATAAGGAAACTGTAACAAAAATAACAAATATTCTTCCCTTCTGTGAATGGCAATATTACATATTATTCAATAACTCGCAAGAGTTCTCTCAAGCACCCTTTCAGGCAGTAAGAAAAGACAAACATCACAACTATGGTGTAAGCAAGCTATAGCCTTCTGTCAGAATTATACAGTTTAGCCAATCATACTGTTTATGTTATATAACAATCACCATCTATGACTGATAGATTTTAAGCACACAATAAACATTTTTTAAGATATAAAAGCAGCTTATTAAATGGTAAAATGTTTCTCATATATCATTTTAGCTATTTAACTACTGGAAAAAGATAAAGGGTGTGCAAATACCTTATGACTCATGGCCATGTGCTTCCCATACTGAAATGCCATATCCTGAACCTCAGCATCATGCTTTGCTAATTCCATTGCAGCTTGGCAGCTCTTTGCTAGTAAGGCACCATGGGAGAGAAAAGTCTTCTCCTTCCAAGTTGATATTCCAATATCATCTGTGATATAAGTTTCCTAAAAATGTAACAAAAGCCAAAATAAAAAAGGCTTTAGGGGTAATATAATTGTTTCTGTTTTTGAAGAATAAAAGAGTAAGAAATGAACTATTCAGAAAATACTCAGGCTATTGCAACATGATAGAACTAAAAAGATGATGAACCTCAGTTCTACCTAAGAAGAATCGGGGTAGGGGGAGACTTCTTTTTTAGGGTAATGAGGAAAAAGTGAAAGAAATTTTTTTTCTGACTACAAGACTCAGAAGAGATGAAAGAAATGTTAAAGCAAAGTTTATTCTAAGCAAGGGAACTTCTATTAAAATATATTCTATAGGAGAAGGCAAAAAGAAACTTACACCTCTTAACTAACTCCCTTCTTTATTCACATCAGTTCTTGGGTGTTGGTATTTCAAAACACAAGAAGCCTATTTTTTTTTTTTTTTTTTTTAGACAGAGTCTGGCTCTGTTGCCCAGGCTAGAGTGCTGTGGCATGAGCCTAGCTCACAGCAACTTCAAACTCCGGGGCTCAAGCAATCCTTCTGCCTCAGCCTCCCGAGTAGCTAGGACTACAGGGATGCGTCACCATGCCCGGCTAATTTTTTCTATATATTTTTAGATGGCCAATTAATTTCTTTCTATTTTTAGTAGAGATGGGGTCTCACTATTGCTCAGGCTGGTTTTGAACTCCTGACCTTGAGCAATCCTCCCACCTCAGCCTCCCAGAGTGCTAGGATTACAGGCGTGAGCCACCTCGCCCGGCCCACAAGAAGCCTATTGCGTTTAACTTACATGAAAATGTCAAGGGTATAATGACATGATCTCATAAACAGTTAAAAAGAAAAACCAGAGAGGAGGTAACCCATTATACTGGAGAATGATTAATACAGTCTTCAAGAAAGTTTATTCTCATAAGAAACAAGGTCATAAGGATATAACTGTAGTTTATTTAATTTCATCTTTTTAAATTATGAACATCATTGTGGTATCTATAAGTATATACAAAATGACTATCTCTGGAACCAGTGCTGGCCAATGGAAATATAATGTAAGCTATATGTGCAATGTAAAATTTTCTAGTGGTCACAGCAAAAAAGTGAAAACAGGTGAAATTAATCTTAATGACATTTTTGTCTATCCCAGTATATCCAAATATCATTTCAACATGTAATCAATATAAGAATTATTAATGAGATATTTAGAATTCTTTTTATGAGATCAGTGTGTATTTTACACTTATAACACATCACTAGCCATAGTTCAAGTGCTCAACCTTAAACAGCTGGTGCTAGACTGTGGGCTCTCTAAGGACAGGAATAAGGAAATAAACATAAAACAATGTTGATTTTATGGTGTTTCTTTGAAATGTCAAACTAACTAGAATCCATCCAGAAGGATTAATTAACCCAAACACTTTTCTTCTTGCCCCTCATCCCATAATCATTTTTTTTCACCATTACTTAAGGACAAAATAAAAAATATTAAGAAAACTTAAATAGGGATGGACCATTAAAAGGTCAGCTCACATTTAGCCTCACCCCTTTTGCCATGTTGAGGGGAATCTTCAGCCCACTGATCAAATCAAATTATCATCTTAGGCCAGGCGTGGTGGCTCACGCCTGTAATTCTAGCACTCTGGGAGGCCGAGGCAGGCAGATTGCTTGAGGTCAGGAGTTCAAAACCAGCCTCAGCGAGACCTCGTCTCTACTAAAAAAAATCGAAAGAAACTAATTGGCCAACTAAAAATATAGAGAAAAAATTAGCTGGGCATGGTGGCGCATGCCTGTAGTCCCAGCTACTCAGGAGGCTGAGGCAGGAAGATTGCTTGAGCCCAGGAGTTTGAGGTTGCTGTGAGCTGGGCTGACGCCATGGCACTCACCCTAGCCTGGGCAACAAACTCTGTCTCAAAAAAAAAAAACATCATCTTAATTTTATTAAGCCTCTGAACAAAAAGAAAGTTCCACTTATGGCAATAGTTGTAAATATGCAACATAGCATTGGGCAATGATACAAAAGCCACACAGGAGAGAAACAGGGCACAAACATAGACCTACTTGACAAAACATTAAGTATAAATTATAACATTTAATTTCAGAAAACTGAGAATATATTTTAAAATGTGAAAGGTTAATATTCCATATTAATAAACCTAAGAAAAACTGTATTATCTCTCCATATATACTAAAGAGGCATTTGACAAAATTCAACTCTCAATCTTTTTTTTCTACACTCCCCACCCCTCTGCCTCAATTCTTGATGAGAAAAAAAAACCCTGAATAAAATAGGAACTGATGTGCATTTCTTTAATATGATAGGGGTATATGTGTATGTGTGTATCAGCCCAAGTCAGAAAATATGAGCTTTTCTCGCTAATGTCAGGAGTAAGACAGAGATACACAAAGTGCCACTTCTATTTAAGAATGTAATGGAAGAGACAAGAAAAGGACAGATTTATAAAACTAGAGAAAGGAAGAGTTTATCACTATTTGAAGATGATATAATTGTGGTGGCTCACGCCTGTAATCCTAGCACTCTGGGAGGCCAACGCAGGAGGATTGCTTGAGCTCAGGAGTTCGAGACCAGCCTGAGCAAGAGCGAGACCTCGTCTCTACTATAAATAGAAAGAAATTAATTGGCCAACTAAAAATATAGAGAAAAAATTAGCTGGGCATGGTGGCACATGACTGTAGTCCCAGCTACTCGGGAGGCTGAGGCTGAAGGATTGCTTGAGCCCAGGAGTTTGAGGTTGCTGTGAGCTGGGCTGATGCCAGGGCACTCTAGCCCAGGCAACAAAGTGAGACTCTATCTCAAAAAAAAAAAAAAAAAGAAAAAAGAAAAAGAAAAAGAAAGAAAGAAAAGAAGAAGATAATTCAATAAAGTAGCAGTATCTACAATTAATTTATAATTAAGATAATAAATGTACTAACTATAGCTTTCATACATAAAAACTAATCAGAAAGTATTATAATAGGGTATTTTCTTCTATTGTGTATACAAAAATAAAGATTAAAAATCTAAGAATAAACTTAGAAATGTATAAAACTGATATGAAGAAAATGATAAAAATACTATTGAAGGAACAAAAGGAACTTAAATGAATATAAAGACCTATCATATTAAAGATAGTAAGATCTAACCTCACAGCATTACTCCAATAAAACTAACACCACCTTTTTTCCCCCTGAAACAAAGCAAACTAAAGTTTATGTAGAAAAAAATAAACAAACAAGGCTAGGAAAATCTTGGAAAAGAAAAGCAATACATATTTGTGTATTGGAGGAAGGGTGGCTACTGAGAACAAATTTTGTCTAGCCCCACCAGATATAATAACATACTATAAAGCCTCAGTAATTTAAAAAATATGTACTTTTAATGCAGACAGACTATGGAACAAAATAGAAAGTCCAGAAAGCAACCAAAGTATATATAGGAGTTTATTACATTTTAGGGAAAAGTTAAGACTTTTCAGTAAATGGTGCTGGTATAACTAAATGGCTATCTGGAAAAAATAAAGTCTGATCTGCATTTCATATCATTTACCATGATAAACTCCAAATGGCAAAAAACGAAAAACAAAAAAACCCAGCAAAAGGAACAACCACAAAACCTTCTAACCAATGTTAGAAGACAAAGGACAAAGAGGAAACTAATTTGCATTTTCTATCATAGACAAATTGCAAATCTCCCTGTGGTAGGCTAACAGTGCACAACCCCCCTGGAAGATGTCTACATCCTAATCCTTGGAACCGGTGAATCTTACCTTACATGGCAACAGGAACTTTGCAGATTTGTTCAAATTCACAATCTTGAAATCCCCAGGGGGATTATCCCAGATTAACTGGGTGGGCCCAATGTTATCACAAGGGTTCTCATGAGAAGGAGGCAGGGTGAGAGTCATAAAAGGGAACACAGTAACAGAGGAGAGAGAGACTGAAAGATGCTGTGCTGCTCGATTTGAAGATGGAGAAGATTGGCCACAAGCCAAGGACTGAAGGTAGAAACCAGAAAACGCAAGAAAATGAATTTCCCCCCAGAACCTCCGGAAGGAATGCAACCCTGCCAACATCTTGATTTAGTGACTTCCAATCGATAATAAAGAATTCCCACCTCTCCAAAAATGTCCCTCTTGGTGTTGGCAAGGCAGTGAAGAAATAGGCCTCTCAAATATGGCTGGTGGAAGTGGAAACTGGCTATAATTTCACATCTCTTGAAATTGCAAGTGTACTTGCCCTGTGACCCAACAATCCCACATCCAGGAATTAACCCGAATGATAAACCTACACACACATGAAATGAAATATGTATAAAGTGTGAAAGCTGATTATATGAATTAGATCGTTCTTGTCACATGCAACTAAAACAGAGTCCAGAAGCCAGAGGAAAAAACACTCAGGACACATAAAATTGCTCCAAAAGCACAATTCTTTGTAAGTCTGGCTGCTGAAACTGCCTGCTTGCAACTAATTTTACCATCACTCACCAATCAAAACTTGCCAGCTTCCAAGAACCTTACTAGTGCCAATGAACTTTCTCAAAGAGTAACACATAACATTTCTCTTTTTTATAAAATTTACAACCTTTAGTTTGTTCTTCGAATATCCCAAAGGCCACATGGTGTGTTTGTATGCCCCAAATTATAATTATTTCTTCCCAAATAAAATGTGAAATTTAGAGATTTGTCTCCATGTATTTTATTTGACTTAGACAAAGGTTACAGTGTATCATCGACCCAGCTGCCAGGGGGATCCTTTAAAAACATAAGCCAGAACCACAATGGCCTCTGGCTGTTTCTCCAACATCCCAGGCATCTCTTCCTTAAAGCTTCTGTACTTGGTATTCCGTCACCCACTTTCCCTGGATGTTTGCATAGTTAGATTCTTCACTGCTTTTGGTTCTCTGCTCAAAATTAAACTCATCTTTAATAGTCCACCTCCACCCCCCATTATTTCCTGTCTCTTTACCTTGCTTTAAACCTTTTTTCCTTGATATTACAGGAACCGTCATATTTATTTATTGTTTATT